GAAAGCGAGAAATCACCCCCCAGGGGGTATGGCCACGCCACAATCCCTTCTCCTCCATTCTCCTCTCGGGATCTTGGGCACACACACACACGTGCCTGGCGTGATTTTTAAGCCACTGGGTCCGGTACGCAAACCGCGGTCAACTACGTGGGAGTCCAGCGACATAGCCATTACGCTAACTGCTGGTCCCAATAAAATAATTCTTAAAAAAAAAAAAAAAAAAACCCTAACAATAAATTAGGGAGAGTTAAATCTGCCCACCATTGTGCCTCCCGCTCCCCTCTGCCCACCTCTTTGCCCAGTGTCCCACTCCCCCAAGACCTCCAGGAACCTCTCTTGTGCCGCATACCTCTTTCTCCTTGGCTCGGATGTCATTCAAGAATTGATATGTTTTGTCAAACACCTCAGGATTATATTCCCCTGACAGATCGTCAAAGCGGGGGTCACGGGCCACCTTTGGAGATAACAGAAAGACTATAAAACAGAATTTTTAGTCTCTTTTCACTAAGCAAGTGCTTCCTACTTTTGTCTCACCTTTTTACTGATGGGGACAACCTGACGTAAAAATGGCACCCGGACCTTGGCTGACATTTCCAGAGGCCTGTGGAGAAATTGAAGGACAGGTCAAGACTCCAGTCTTGTCAAAAGCTTCCCAACTGTCACTCAAGGAAAAAAGACATCTATCTGAGATCCTAGATACCCTCCTCTAGCTCCTGCGGCAGGCCTAGCTCCTTACCTGTGCTTATCTGAGACGCATGCACTTTGGACAGATGGTCTTGAATTTGGCTTCTTAGAGCTGTTCCCAGCTACCAATTGTTTGTATGTCTTGGTCCCCACGTGGCTCTGCAATTCCAACAGCTCCTCGAATGACATGTTAGATGTGTCTATAGAAGTTGGGAGAGGGGGCTTTTAGACAGCTCAGCCCATGCAGAAAAGACACCACCCCACCCCCATTCCTTAGGCAGTGGATCGTTTCCTGTATCCCCATCAGACCCACTGTAGGACAAATCCGGGCAACACAGGCTGTCATGGAGCCAGACTAACACCTCACTCCCAGCTGTTTCAACTACTGGGAGTTCATCTTGCTAGAGAAGATATCCACACAAGGTCAGAAGTGGACAACATTAGTCCCTTCATTTTTGCTTTCTTTTTTGCTAAACAGAGTGAGCACTCATCAGAGTCAGAGAGGGAGAGAAGAAGCACCCCTACGGAGAATGGTCATGCCATAATCCCTTTTCCATTTCCCCCTCCCTTTGGGATTGTGGGCATGCATGCTCATGAGCCTGGTACAGTTCTCAAACTGCAGTCGGTTATGTGGGACCCAGCTACTTTAACCACCAGACCATGGAGCTGGCCCACTCTCTTTTAAATTATTTTTGTAAGTGTTCCCACAAGGGCCTCTCATCCTTGCTGAGTGACCACTACTGACTGAAGTCCTGGTTCATACTCTCGGTGTCTCTTACCTCAGTCCACTAGCCTCCTAACTGGTCTCTCAACCCCTCGTCTCACTTAACTCAAAGCTATGCTTCTCAATTTAGCCTTAGAGAGGGATCAAAAATACAATCTGACCTTGTTACTCTCACACATAAGCTTTAGATTGTGTTACCTCAACTCAAAAATTCCCGCTCAGAGTAAAAGCTGTTTGTTATAATAACCGAAAAGCTCTCATTTAACCGGACTGCCCCCAATCTCTAATCTCATCTACTAATCTTCTTAAACTCTTCTCCAGCCCACTGGCCTCCCAGCAGTTCCTGGGCACAAAGGTATGCTCTTGGCTCAGTTCTCTACACTTGATGTTGCCTGTTCCTGGTACATTCCCCGAATTTATGTATCACTTGCTCCTTCACCTCTTTCTACCCTTTGTCCAAATGTTTTTTTTTTTTTTTAATTTTTTTGAGGTTTTTGCTATAGGACACATGCTCTCGCCAGAAAGACAGAGAGAGACAGAGAGACAGAAAGCGAGAAATCACCCCCTGGGGGGATGGCCACGCCGCAATCCCTTCTCCTCCATTCTCCTCTTGGGATCTTGGGCACATACGCAAATGCTTCCGGCGTGAGTTTAAGCCACGGGGTCTGGGACTCAAACTGTGGCCACCTACACGGGAGTCCAGCTACATAGCCATTACACCAATTGCTGGTCCTGCCTTTGTCCAAATGTTAACTTCCCAGTGAAGCCTTTTTTGAATACCATTTTTAAAATGGCAACCTCTCCTCTTCTTTATTTCCCTCCATAGACCTTATAATCTTTTTTAAAAATTGAGATACATGGGACCAGCAGTTGGCATAATGGCTATGTCGCTGAATTCCCATATGGTTGACCGAAATTCAAGTCCCGGACCCAGTGGCTCAAACTCACACGGGGTGCGTGTGTGTGCGTGCCCAAGATCCCGAGAGGAGAATGGAGAAGGGACTGTGGCGTGGCCATACACCCTGGGAGGTGATTTCTTGCTTTCTGTCTCTGCTTCTCTGTCTTTCTGGCAAGCGCACGCGCCCTATAGCAAAAACCTCTCCAAAAAAACCAATTGAGGTACAATGCACATACCATAAAAATCACCCTAATAGGGGCAGCAGATGGTGTAGGGGTTACTCACTGGACTCCCACATGGTCAGCTGCGGTTCAAATCTCGGACCTGGTGACTTGAAAATCGTACCAGGTACCTGCGTGTGCCCAAAATCCTCAGTGAATGGAAGTAAAGGGATTGCAGAGTCGCCATGTCCCCTGGAGTGGGTGGGTGATTTCTCATTTTTTCTTGTCCCTTCGGAGAGCACACACACCCTATGGCAAAAACCTTTCTAAAAAAAAAAAGGCACACACACCCTAAAAGTGTACAACTTAATATTTCATTGCCATTTAATGTAATCATTCACTTCTTTGCCTTTTGTTTTACTGCCCTTTCTAAAAGATAAATTATGAAGACAGTTATTTCTGAATATTCACTACTGTATATCTACAGGCTAGAATCATGTCCGCATTTAATGGATAAGAGCTCGAATGCCCAGTAATTGTGGAATTGGTTGACCCTTGAACTCCCCATGCCTCCCGCACTTACATCATCTCCTGACCCTGGGCTACTGCACATGCGCTTTCTCACCGAAAACCCTCATCCTACCTTAAGAACTGCTCGGGATGTCCGAATCCCGTAAGTTTCCCCTCTCACCCCCTGACCCTGCACCGTGCGGGAGGCACCCCCACTTTGCCTCCTTCAGAACACTTCGCAGTCTCCCCGACCTGCCCCTGCAAAGGCTCGGAGCCCCCGCCAGGCTCCCAGAAGCACGCCTCCCCACCACCGGCCCTGCTCCCTCACCCCTCCGCAGGTCGCTGGCCACGACTCGGGGCTCCAGGGTGTCGTCACTCTCCCCGCTGTCCTGGGCCTGGCGGGGACATCGGGCTACCGCCCTGGCGCGGGGGACAGCTCTCGGCATCGACCCGACCCGCACCCCGCCTGCAGCACCAATGGCGCGACTTCCGCTCCCGGCAGCTCCTGCCCCGCCTCTTCCGGCGTTCCCGGAAGGCTGAGTGCCAACGTGACAATGAACGAGCAGAAAACAGACCGAGCCGCTGGCTAGCAGCCGGCGGCAGAGAGCCGGGGCCACTCTGGAGAGAACGTCGCTGCTCCTTGCTCAAGTCATAGCGCACTGGGCTCTGCCCCGGAGAGGCTGGGGCCAGGCGGTGATATTTGGTTTCCTAATAGGCGGCTGAGAAGCCAGAACCGCAGGGGGTGCCCTTTAGCACCCTGCCCCCGTAGCAAACTCCTGCCGCCCCCACCGTGCCCCACAAAAACACAACACACATTTGGAGGTTTTAATTCATTTTTATAAAATCTGAGCTGGCTGAGCTTCAGGGTACAGCAACAGCTCAAGGAAGGGTGGGATGATCTGCTGTCCCCCCCCTTGCCTTCCCAAGTCGGGAAGGTGGAGGGTCTATGCCAACAGATGCAACTCCTTTTAGCTCCCAGTCAATGCTCATGGCTCAAGCAAGGGGTAGGGGTGAGCTTAGAGGGAAGGGGAAGCTCCTGAGGCTCGGACACTGCTTGCTTCTCCCTTCCCACTGTCTTCCCATCCCAGCAGAACCTGACTGGCCTGGGGCAGAGCAGAGGCCCAGGAGCAGTCGGAGGAAGGTGGATGGGGACAGAGCACCAAGGGGATGGGGCCCTCTGGCCCAAGCGGGGAGGGACCTGGCCCTCCCCACTACAGCTCCCCACTGAGTTCACAGCACAGAAAACACCTCTAGTCCAACAACTCCACGTGGAGGTATACTGAGTTCAGGGTCCAAGGGGCAGGCAGGTGAGAGATGGGCAGGGGCAAGTGAAGATGACGGCAGGCTCTGAAGGGGAGGTGGCAGAAACTTCCTCCTACCCATGGGAGGAGACGATGGGGCGGCTGATATTGCTGTTGGTGGTCATGGCATTCAGCTCCCACCTGCAAGGCCAACAATGACAGGCAAAAGGGAGAGAGGGGAGACTTCCCCCACAACATGCCCACAACTGCTTGAACAAAGCAATGCAGTCCCTCCAATTTCCTGAAGTTCAGCCACCCACAGCCACCTCTTCCTTACAGCCCTACTAGGTTTAACAATCAGGTCTACCCACTACCAAATCCAATACCACCCACTCCACCTCCATGCTCATGCATTTCCTGTTTATGTTTATACATATATTCTTGCATCCAGGCACCTGAAATCTGTGTACCTCTCAGTCAACATTCCAACCTATCTTTCCTGCTCTGCTCAGATCTAACCAGGTATCCCTTGCATCTCACCCCCCAGAAGGCCTGCTTCTTTTCTCAACTCCTATCTTTTTATAGCCCTAACTCAGTTCCCCTACCCTCCCTGAAGCTTTCTCCACCCCTCTGACCATATGAAAATTAAATCCTTCTCTTTCTGACCATTCTTTCAGTTATAAATAGTTACTGAATACCTGCTTATTCAGTACTAGACTGTTCAGGTACTTTCATATGTGTCAATCTTGGGCCAGTTTAGCCTCATACACTGTGTCACCAAATATCGAACATAGACTCTCAGCAAGGAAGAGTTGAAGTGAACTGAAACACGGGGAGGGAAAGGTCTCGAAATGATCCAGAAGGGCAAAATTATACAAAGTAAATTTTGATGCTTGATTTGAACCTAAGGATTGAATTCAAAGGGAAATAGCCAGTATTTCTCTTAATTTTGCAACTAAAGCAATCCAGAGGTTCCTAAACTTGTCTTTACTTTGCAACTAGGTTTGAAGATTTTTTTTAAAAATAATTTTATTATTTTTTAAGTTAATTTTATTTGTTGTCATTATTTCATTTTATTTTATATTTTTTTGATGTTGAACAGAGAGAGACAGAGAAGTGAGAAAGCAAGCTGCCAGGTCCAGGACTCAAACCGCGGTCAGCCAAGTGGGAGTCCAGCTGCCCCAACCACCAGGCCACCTGCTGGCCCCTATTTATTACTATTTTTAATTTGCTATAAGGCATGTGTGCTCACCAAAAAGATAGAGACAGAAAGTGAGAAGGCAAGCCACCAGGTCCAGGACTTAAACCACAGTCATCCAGCACTTTAACCACCATACCACCTGCTGGGCCCAGGTTCTAAAATTTAATCTAGCATTCTCAGCATATTAACAAAAATAGCCACATAAGCTCAGGCCTCTGAAAGTGGACTTTTCTTTGAATAAAGGACCCACCTGACAGTCTTATTCTCGTTCCCTACAAGTGCATTACGCCTCCAGCAGAAACTGTCTCCTCCATACCAAGCTAACCAGGCCCAGGCTAATAAGGCCATGCTTACGTTGCTCACTCACCCTCAACCAAGCCCCCTTTCCGACCACTCACGATACCTGATGTCATGGGGCAAACAGGACTGGTCCAGGTTATACTGGATCACGGCCAATTTGCACAGAGTCTTCAGACTAGGGCCTCGAAGGGAGGAGTTGGAAAGGGAAATGGTCAGAGCCTCGGAAAGGATCCGGTCCTGGATACCACCACCCAAAACAGGGACCTTGAGGGCAGGAGCACGTCGGCAATAACTACTTACTGAAGTCCAAGATGTGTAAGTCAGAATGATCTATGAGGTCAAATTCATCTCCCAGGCCTTCCTCTGGAGATGGACTTCAGGGATCAAAAGAAAGATGAAGGTAGGAGGAAAAACTACCCACAAGACCCTCTGGCCCAAATACCTCCCACTCTCCTATTAGTCATAGACGCAAGACTTCCCTGAGGCCTCCCCTCTCTCTTCCTAACCTGGTACCCCCAAAGAGGACAATCTTGTCACCAACAATACAGCAGCACTGGCGCCGGCGGGGACACGGCCCTTTCCCCTTCGGTTCGATCTTCTTCCAGGTAAAGGACACTACGGAGAAGTTTACGTGGAAGTTCAATACCTGCCCCGTCTACCTACCTTCTCTACTCCCCATCCCCTCACCTACTCAGGATTATTCTTTTCCTCCCACCTCAATTGGTCCTTGTTCCTCCCCTAAAGGCAGTGCTCTTTACCAGGATTAAACTTCCAAAGGTCATGGAAGTGCCGGTTCAGCCTTGCGTTATAGCCACCAAAGATGTACAGCTCCCCATTGTAGCCAACTGGAAGGAGAGAGGAATGTCAGTGAGAGCAGGGCAGGGCAGGCCAGGGGCCTTCACAGGGAAAGAACAGACACTCACAGGCTGAATGGCTCCGGCGCCCCTCGGGCAGCACTGGAGTGGGCGGACAGTCCAGCCAAGCTTCAGTTTTGGTGTCGAAGACACGAATGCGGTTGCAGTAAATCTCATTGTTGGAATGGAATGGCCCAAAGCGGTCGGCACGGCCCCCGAAGACGTACATGTTACTGTCCAGCATTGTGGCTGAGTGGAAGTCCCTCCAGCGTGCAGGGTTGCCCTGGGCAGAGCAGAGATGGGAGAGGGGGTCAGCACAGAGGCTGGATGGAATCTGCCCGCATTGCTGGAGCTTCCTAAGGCTTCTCAATGGGAGATGGGTATCTAGGAGCAAGAAAAAAGGGCAGACCTTTGTACAGATGAGGGTCCATGTCATGGTGCTGGTGTCTAACTTATGAATGTCATTGGAAAAGCAGTCCGCCTGTGTGGAAAGACAAGGATGGAAGAAAAGGGGATCAATGGTTACTCTGACCCAACTTCCTTCCCCTCGAAACCTGCAAACAAGCCCAAACCTCCTAGTCTATCACGCTAAATGTCCCTTCCTCTCTCTCATTCCCACCCTAAGCCTCTAGTTTCTTCCCAGACCTACCAGCTGCTCGTAGCCCCCGAAAATGTACATGATCTTGCCCAGGACACAAGCCGAATGCCCATCCCGGGCCCCAGGAACTGTTCCTGACACTCGGGGTGTGGACCACTTGTGAGTATCTGAAGGAGGTAAGAGAATGGCCTAGGTAAGCAACTCCTAGCCTTCCCTCCTAAAGTCTGGGGTGCCCTATTCCCCAGTCCTCCCACCAACCCACACATTTCCCTGGCCCGAGGTACCATCTGGCAGGACACAACCTTTCTGAAACCCATACTCACTAACGTCAAAGGCATACAGCACGTTGCAGGCCCCTTCGGTGTCATTCCGCCCACCCCAAAGGAAGACCGTGTCATCGACGAGGACGGTTGAGTGTCCATACCGCATGTAGGGTACCACAGGAGCCTGCCCACGGATTGCGGGCCTCACCGGGGGCAGCTTTGTCCAACGCAAGGACACTGTGGGCACAGCTTAGCTCAGCCCTGGGAACCTCCCTCCAGATTGTCCACCTTTTCCCAAACCAGCGATCTATACCCCATCCCCCTTGCCACAGGGACCACCACCAAACCTCTTTGGCCACCCCTTCCTGCCCTGATTTGGGCTCAAGGGACGTACCCAGCTCTGGCTTACCTGCATTGAAAATGTGCACATCTATCTGACGCAGCGTCTCATAGTCTTCCCCAGAGCAGTAACCCCCGAAGGAGTATACCCGGTGCCCGACAGCCACTGCAGCATGGTTCACCCTGCGGGGCCCGCCCTCCAGGTGCACCGTCCACCGTAACATCCCCTGGGCCACTGGTTACAGCAACATGCCCCCCCGGCACGGCCTGCTGCCTCTGCTACCTGCACACAAGTCAGGGCCACGGGCTGCTCAGATAAGGCTTCTGCCCAGCTCACCGCCGCTCTGCTTAGGACCAGCCCTTACCTCCAAGTGTCACCCTGATGGCCCTCCCACACCACCTCTCCACAGGGTCACTGGTCACAGCTCAGGTGGCTGGCCCTGCCCCAGGAGAGCTGCCGAGGTCAGGGAGCTAACTCTGGCCTGGTGTTCCCCAACAGCAAAGGGTGGGGAGCCTACAACCTGACTACCAGCTCCGAATCTGCTGATCATTATCGCCCTCTACTCATGGAGACTCCACCCTGTGCCTGGCTTGGCACAACCTTCAAGACCCCCTCCCAGGACGGCTGTGTTCTCTTGTCTCTTGCTCTGCTCTGCTTACTGCCACCTCTCTAAGAATCTCTGTGCTCTTAAAGGTGGGGAAAGGGATCTCAAAATACTCACAGCTATTAATAACCCAGCTAGCCCAGACAGTCCATTGAAAGCTGGCATGAGTGCTTGCTTCAAAGCATAAAAGCTTTTAGGCTCTTACAGTGGAACACTCTCCCCACCCAAAACGGGGTGAAACTGATCCAGGACAGGGATTTCCACGTTGCCTTGGTCAGTTAGCCCCTTATAGGGAGCGTCTGTCAAACTCAGCTGTTGTCATCAGGGTCACCCAGGGCCCCCCCACAGGCACGAGGAGTTCCTTTGACAGCTGTGCCTGGCATGCTGCCAGAACTAGGAAGTTAAGCCAGAAAGGTATGTGTGAAACGGGAACTGGGGGATGGGGGCAGGGAGGAGAGGTGTTCTGCAGCTTCACCAACCCTTCCATTGTGGTAGAAAACAAACCATGCCCCTCCCCAGCTCTTCTGCTTCTGGGGCCCCAGAAAGGGGGATAGAGTGGGGGTATGCACCAGAAAAGGGAAGCGAAGCAAAAATGCCCTTGGGTAGGATAAGTGAAGACCCAGGCATGTGGTTTCTTAAGACAACGTGCCAACCTAGCGATAATGGGCACATTTGAGGGCTCTTTCAGGCAAATCCTCCTGTATCTGGCAATGCCCTTGCTGGCAGGCACTTCCTGGATTTGGCTGGATCATCTGCTCTCTGTTCAAGAAGCCCTGGCAGAAGGAAAAGCCAGGCAGAACCTCAGACACAAAAAGGGGGAGAAAAAGCCCTCAAGTAAAAGAGGCCCCTTGCAGGAAAGAGAAGCTTTCTTTCGGTGTTCAGCTGGTTTGCCGGTCCCACCCACCCAACCTTCCCCAACTGTACGCCCCATGCTTTAAATAGCCACCCCCTCCCAAACTGAAATAGCCTCAGCAGGA